TCCACCGCTGGCGGCACTCTCCGACGGCCTTTGACAAAGCTCGTTCGACTGACGATCCCCTCAGATTGATTTGATGTGGCTTCGCCACAGGAGGGGAGGATGTTGAGGATCGTCAGCTGAACCGACCTTTTTTATACGTTGTCTTTGTTTTTATAGTTTTTTTTATTATATTTGATTTTTATTTAATTTTGTTTTTATTGACATATGGATTATTATTGATTGTCACGTGCTTTGACGAGGATATTTGTTTTGTGGACAATATAGTTTTTTTTATTATATTTGATTTTTATTTAATTTTGTTTTTATTGACATATGGATTATTATTGATTGTCACGTGCTTTGACGAGGATATTTGTTTTGTGGACAATATAGTTTTTGAGAAGATAAGTTGTTTATTTTCACACCTGTGCCCACACCATTCCTCGTCACCCTCTTCGTCGATAACACGTTTGTTTTTCAAAAAAAATCTTTCACCGTTCGAAAGCTATATTATCCACAAGTAACATAGGCTATATTTTATTATTAAAAAAAATAGGGTTCCATAAGATATTTGGGTGTTTCGGACACAAGGTATAAAAAATCAACCAGAAAAGTTACTTGTTTTGCGTAAACTGCCTAAATTATAATAGATAGAAACATAAAAATTATAATTAATTGTAAATCTTATAAATATCTACAATAAATTCCGCGACACACTATACCTATCTATGTCGAGTGAGGCACGACAACCATATTTTTAATTAAAAATCTTGAATTTTTTTGAACTACATTTAAACGCGTTTATTTTACTCATGCTATTTATCCTTATCAAATAATTATCTCATCACTAAGTTCAGTTTTTATAGATAATACTTGGTCTTTGAATGATTAAAATTGGACGTTTGCTTTTGAAGTTATGGCGAAATTTAAATATTACGATATCTGCTGCACGGCCCGTTGCTAAGTGGGCGGAACCGAGGCGGGGGTGCGCGTGCGGGGGGGGGGGGGGGGGGGGAGTTTAGATCTATGAGTAAGGTACATAGATTATACATAAGGTATCAGCGGACCACGCCGGCGAAGCCGCTGTCGGAAAGCTAATATGAGTATAGAATTATTGGAATAACAATGGCGCTCATAATTAATTTAATGACCTAAATAAACCTCCGTCCGGCTTCAACAGAATTTTCTTGAATAAATCAATTTTTTTAAAGTTTGAAGTGGGTTCTACTTTTTATAAAAAGTTCTTTTGAATACTGGTTTTTCGTATGATCCGTGATCCGAGGTTTCAGACAAATCCGATGTGTCTAGCAGCTTCCGATAAGTCTCTGGACCACTTATAAGGCATACCTGCACTAAATCAATGTATTGCATTGATAATTAATTAAACATAAATAAATAAAAGTAAACAGAAAAATTATTTGTTTCATTTCAAGTTCATGACATTTCCAATTACTTTACAACTAGAATATACCTTATTTACCACATATCATTGAACTATTTGCCAGCATTGAGGAAAAAGGCGTTTTGCCTATAATGAAGATTATTTAAAAAGTATATATTAACTAGCTGTTTTCCCGCAACTTCGCCTGCGTAAATCATAGTTTATGTCAATCCCGTATGACATAGCTACCCGTAGGTGAAGGATTTTTTTAAATCGATCGAGTAGCTTCGAAGCCTATTCCATGCAAGCAAACAATCAAATCTTTCTTCTTTTTAATATTAGAATAGCATTTGAATTTAGATAAAAATTACAAAAAATCTGCGGCCCTTTATGTAGTATAGTATTTTTTAGGGTACACAGAAATCGCTCGTAACTCATAAGGAGATTTGTTAGAGCATCAAGACTACTTTTTGAGTCCATAAAAATTATGAAATTATATAGTTGGTGGGAAAGAAGAGACTGCCTTTAAGATAGTCACTGCTTCTCCAGAATACACTTTCTGTAGGACATTTAAAAAATAAAACACTTTTATATACCAACATTTCCATCGGTGCGTGTTCGAGAGACATGAGAGGCATCAGTATAGATTGGCGATCAATCTACATTCTAGTGTTCATGAAATTTGTTTTCTACTGAAGGGTAATTTTTTTGTATGGCAAAATTTAATATTCTAGGTGTAAGGATGAGGATTGCAAAACTAAATCCGAAAAGAGGATCGGTATTAAATATAACAATTTCATGAGATAAACGAGACAAATTATTGAGTTTTCTAAAACTATTTGTTACCCTAGGAGGCTTCTTATGACACCAATACGCAGAGTCAAAGATTAATCTTGATAATTTTTGTAGACGAGAGCAAGAGGATGGGACTTTAGCTGTACAGTTTTGAAGATAAATCTATCGCAGAGACATTGACGTCTCAGGTCAAGACGAGGATCTACGCATGCCACTCGAAGACCGATGCCACGAGATGACTTCATGGCGCTTCATTCGCAAGCGCTTTAACTGACATTCACCAAATTTTAGTAAGGTTCAAGTAAAAGGAAACATGGTCGTCATCATGGTTTTCTAACTCAAAAATGGTGGAAGTAAAAGGATGAGGTAGATGGATGGAAGCAAAACTAATATTAATTACTGTTGCGGTTAAAATATTAAATAAGTCAATATGAGAAGGTACAGAAAAAGTGTGTGTGTAAATAAATATAGCTTCTTATTTTTAGTGTCTACGAATTCAAACATCGAGGTAATTAGATTCTAATGTTGCGGATACTTTGCAATTCATAATATTAATAATTGAATTTCGTATTGTGATCCTTGACAATTAACCAGATCCCTGAGCTTTCCACAGTTGCACGTTTAGCCGTGCGATTGAATTGCGCTATTTCCGTATAGAGCTAGCCACCATATTGGATGGATGTTTTATCCAGTTGGCTACGACATATACATTATAAATTAACCTCAATGTTTTTTCATTAGTTCATTCAAAATATAAAAGTCGTTTATTGTGATCATTGTCAATTGTAATTTATTGAAGTCATTTATTTGGGTTAATGTTTAATAATCTTTTATTGTATGATGTAATAAGCGACAAAGAGAATCGTTTAATGAGGAAGTATTTAAAAAAAGAAAGCACTAAAAAGCGCCTTACTAGATGGCGACTCTAGCAAAAGTTGATTTTTGCAGGAAACGAATGGACCAAAGAGTCTTTTTCGTTCCTTTTAACTAACATATTAAAAAACTTAAATTTGCAAAACTCGAAACTTACAAATCAATACAAATACGAAAAAGTACAAATAGAATATGAGGTGTTTATTAAGTTTTTAAAATTAATTTACTTTTATACATGAAAGAAAACCGGAAGGGATGTCATGGAGAATCAAGAAAGTACCGTAGCGACATCTAGTTTAATTTCGGGGACAATGATTTTTTTTAAATACTTCTTCATGATTCCATACTAAGTAATATTATTATAAATGAGAAAGTAAGCCTGTTACGCTCTCACGCCTAAACTAATATGCCCAGTTGACTTGAAATAGGACATAGGCTAATTTTTTGACACAAATTGACTAGCGTTAAAACCAGTTTTGAATTCTATCTCGAGAAAATTTGAATGAAATAAATAATACGTACAATAAATAAGATCTAATATTACTTACTTACACAAAACAACCACTTATTGTTAGTTAGAAAGGTTCAAATTAGAAAGACAGCACTATTTTTTTTTTTTAAACTAAGCTAAACCCGTCCGCCTATTCGTTTGTAAATAGGATGTATTACGTGTAAGTTAGACAGTTGAAATTTTCACAGATAACGTAGTATTTTTGTAGCCGCTTTAACAAAGAATAGTAAAAAAATATTTTTATTCAACAAAAGTATTTTTTTTTTGCTCGTCTTGGGTACGGAACACTTGGTGCGCGAGTCCGATTCGAACTTGACCGGCTTTGTTTCTAAATAATTTTATTTAAATATACAATGCTTATCCAATTTCTATGAAAAAATGTAGGGAATCGTACGTTTAAAGCCTTTGCTGTTAGTTTGTTTATTTGAAAACATGAACATTTCTTTATGAAAAATAAAGATTATCTTCTTGCGTGGTATTGTGTATCATTTTTTTTTTTTATTAAAAAAGATTTTTTTTATAGTTTTACCAACATACTTCAAAAAGGAAAATGTTTTTTTTAGTTTTTTTTGTGGCGAAAAAAACGCAACCATTCGGTATAGTCGGACTACCACTTTCGACAATAAATAAAAAGGATTCGCTTTGTGGAAAAGTATTATAAACAAAAGATCTAAAGTAACCTTGTAAAAATTTTTTACAGCGCAGTTTTCCTTCTGTCCTATATCATGCTTTCGTCTGCATAGGGACGACTCATCGCATTACAAATATCGAATCAAAGTATCGATACCACATTCGATAGGATTAATACTTGTATGAGTACTCACTGCATTTTTAAGAAGAAAATTTTGCCTTATATATTACTCAGTGTTATATAGTGCGCTCAAAAAATATTTCTTCGTTCTTTTCATACACGCTCTCGAATGTCGCTACGCTTTGGATGATTCGATTCAAATTCAAACGGACGATTTTATTCGATTTTACTATGGTCTGTACATAGAAGCACTAAATCAAAAGTATCAATACTATAAGAATAAACAGAAAAATAGTCAAATAACATTATTTGCTAGACGGAGATGTATTTTATTTACCATCCCTAAGCAAGAAAGAGATGCGAAAGAGTTTGATTCATAATAACAGCGTCTTATTCGCGTAACCCTTGGACCATAAAGCAATTTATTTGAAGCGAGATTTATACCTTTTATCTTTATAACTCTGTATACTAAATAGTCTGTGCATAAACTACTGAAAAAGTGAAAAATACTTTTTATTTTGTGGCCTAAAACCAAAAAAATGCTTAAAATTTACTCAATATGAAGACCATGTTTTCATTTTGATTTAATTTTCGTATAACTGGCATCAAAGAGAACACGAAAAACCATAATAATCTTTTTTGAGTGTAATCTTTCACTAAAGAGAATGTAATCGTCGTATTTATACTCTTTGTTTTTAAATTGTTGAAAAATGACGAAGAAATTATTAATTCGTGTTTTGTCTTATTTAAGGGATAACGACAAAAATAACAAGGAGAACGTTGACGAAGAAGAAGTAACATTGAAGGAGGAATGTTTGAACATGGCTGAAAATCTTGTAGTATGTAGAGGCTGCCTCGCAACTAATACTAAACTGTACGAGTTACATGAAAACAATCTAAAAGATTTGTTTAGAGAGGTCGTCGGAAGCCCGGTAAATATACTTTTCTCTATTACATAAAATAGTTTCTAGTTGTTGCATTGAATCTTCTTGATCTACTAAAAGAGAATAAAAATGTCACTTTTACTTAAATTTGATGTATAATCATTTGTAAGTTGCTGTAGTTTCCAACTTTAACAAAATTCAATTGAGTCTCGTTCATTGGCTAAGATCAAAATTCAAAATTTAACTTGGGCTTTCACTACCAACATACAAAAAGCAGTTTATAAAATATTAAATAAACTGAGTGAAACAATGAATTTGGTGGAATCCACAAGGACAATGCCATTAATTAAGATGTGTTTCCCTTATGTGAAAGAATATTCACGATCTAATCAAAATTTCTGAAGATTACCCCCCTACAAACTAAGTTTAAAAACTAACTTTAAAATATTTGTATAGATTAAATATTTTAGTTTCAGGATATAGAATCTGATCATCTACCACCTTATATTTGCACTTATTGTCATGCGTTGCTCCTGAAGTATACAGCATTCAGGAGAAGATGTCGAAGAGCGCAGGATATACTTGAAGAAATTGAATTTCATGGAGGCGAGGTAAGAGAATGAATTTGATGGGATTAAGCATGTTTCTATGGGACCCTAATAAAATAACTATAAATTTCACACCACTTTCTATTTACTAGTTTTTGGTCAAACTAGTAAATAGAAAATTAACATTTTAATATTGTCTTAGGTCTGGGTGTTGTAGTACCTTTGTTGTCTTTGATATCCTAAATATAAGTACTCTGATAATCTGCCTATAGTAATGTGCACGGACGGTACAGTACTTTAGCTACTTAATTTTAGATCTGAGCAATGTATGTGATGTTGCATGTGAATATATACTTATTTGTGTAATGAAAAATGATTTTTCAAATTGGTAATTCTTTAATGTATAATTTTTGCACTTAACTAATTAAAGTTTGGGTTTTTTTTTTTACTTATTAATTGTAATTCATTGCTAAGAATTATACCATAGATAGTCAAACATTACTTTAAGGCGTTCGTGAATATTATTATTTTTTATCTTATTTGGGTTTTGAGAGTTGTGTGGAATTTTATTGGATGAAATATAAAATGGCATTATTACAAAAACAAATAAAAATGAGTTTTTAAAGAATTTTTTCTCTCTATAAAATTATTCATTCATATTTGGACAATGACAAAACTCTTAAAATATGTTTGATGTTTTTTTATTATAATTTATTTAGACATGATTTGTTTGTACAGAACTATTTGAAAGTTACAGGATGGTTTTTTATATATATGATTAAGTTGCTCTTATTGTTAGGCCCCTTGGTGTCCACATTTACACTTTGTTTATTACTGGTTCAAACACTACCTACATTTTTGCAGGTGACAACGGAATTCATCGCCTCAATTGATCGTCCATACTACAATCTCAATTTAAACCTATCAATATCAAATCCAGTAGTGATGGACAGTGAAGACGTTGAAAACGAAACTGAGGTTAGTTTCTAGGCATTACTACATAGTATAAAACAAAGTCGCTTTCTCTGTCCCTAAATCTATATGTATGCTTAAATGTTTAAAACTACGCAACGGATTTTTATGCGGTTTTTTTTTTCATAGATAGGGTGATACAAAAGGAAGGTTTTTATGCATAACTAGTTTTTAATAAAATGCAACTTGGGTGATGATAATTTTTTTAGATTATTGAGGAATATTGAAACACATATTTTTATTTTCATAATATCATACATTTTTACGTTTTCTACATAGTTGTGATATTTAGAAAGCACACATACATAGTAGCAAGCCCGCACTCCTCAACTTTAACGCATATTATCTAAGCCATTCCTTATTTAATTGAAATGAAGCTAAAAAAATCTATCTAATATTTTTCTAATTACTAATAAATGGACTAAATATTTTTTTTTTACCTGTGGCACCTTGATTTATTATACAGGGTTATTTATAAAACAATATTACCCTCGTAGGGCTGGATAGCTAACGTCATTGATAACAATCTTTAACGAAAATCATCAATACTTTGAACAAAAATTGCCAGCTTTCTACCAGGGCCACGTGCGTTCTGTATTCGCCTGCGTGGTTTTCCTGTTTTTCCAACGTTTTTTCATTGCTTTTCCACTCCTATTAACCATAGCGTTATGTTAGAATAGTGTGTGGCCTATAGCCTCATTAAATCAGAGGTTCCCAAACAATTTTTTCTCGTAGACTATTTTGTAAAATTTACTGGTTTCGGTGGACCCCCGCTGCTACATTTTTACCATATTCCAAAAATTGGTCCAAAATGTGAAGATCTAACGATGGAACTTGTGAACCCCTACTTTTATTTTAGCCTGAGCCCTAGCGATGGGGACATTAGTAGACTGGTAGTGAGGCTCCGAAACTACTTGACATTTTTCACTTAGACTATTATCTACATCGGTAAAGTAGCGGGAAAACAGCTAGTTTTTTTATCAGGTTGTAGAACTAGTCATCATCATCATCAGCCCTTTTACGTCCCCACTGCAGGGGCTCAGGCCTTCCTTATGGATGGTTAAGGAGAATGGGCCATGACCCTCCACGCTGGCCCAATGAGGATTAGAGGGTACTAACGACGGCAAATGCAGTCGGGACCAACAGCTTGGCACGTTAAGCGTTTCCGAAGCACGGCGTAGCTCGAGATAATAATTTTTGATCACTCATCCCGTGACCGACCCTTGCGAGAGTTACTTAACGACTACGATCGCGGGCCGCGGCGCTTACCCACTACGCCACAGAGCTACTTAAAAAGAATAAACACCGTAGATCTAGTAATGGTAGTGTTTGATAATAACCCTGTATATTTAAAAATATTTTTTTCTTGCAGGTTGAATATATCAATGAATCCGCAGACGAGAAACCGTTTGTCAAACTTGTGTTCTTTGAAGAATCACCCAAAGATGGGATCGAATTGGATGACGTTTGCAACGAGTACATAGTTGAGACCGAAGATGTTGTCACCAGCGAGACGGACTTGATCACAACAACAAAATTAGATGAACCAGACAAAGTTGACAAACCACCCAAGAACTCCTGGTGCATATACTGTGGGGAATCATTTTTGAACGACGTCGGACTTAGAAATCACAAGCGGAAGGCTCATTTTGATCTGCCAACGACTCAGTTTTCTTGCGATTCGTGTGACATTTCTTTTTTAAACGCTGAAGCTTTACAGTTACATGTGGACAACATCTGTTTCAATTCTGCCAACTGTTGTGTGCATTGTGGTGATAGTTTTGAAAGTGAAATGTATCTGAAATTCCATATACTCCAAATGCATAGGAAAGTTAACAGGAACATGATGAAATGTGACACTTGTTACGCTGAGTTTGATACTACTAAAGCTCTCAGTACACATTTGAGTTTGACAAACGGTGATTGTAGAGGTTTGAGCTCGTGCCTGCAATGTGGGGAGAGCTTTATGACAACTAGTTTGATGAAGAAACATGTCGCAGACAGTCATCTGAACGTTTATGACTGTCAGAAGGTAAGATTTTAACCGTTACATATATTTGGATTAGTTAAATTCACACTTTTTAAAGTTCCATGCTTATCCATAACGCAGTCCTTAAAAGATATTTTTTTTTGTCTGTCCCAGGCTGTATATCATGAATCGTGATAGTTAGACAATTGAAATTTCGCAGCCAATGTGTTATTTGATTTAATTTAATTTTGTATTCACAATTTCATACTGGAAAATGTTCTTAGAATATAATAAAATCAATATATAAGGGGACTCTTATACAACAAACGTGAATTATTTCTCATTTCTGATAGTGACATTATGTTGCCTCAAATATACATAGTATATTTAGTTATTCGCTTTAAATTTGAAAATTATGAAATTAGTTTTCATAAAAATAGACTTTAAGGGTCACGATTTTATTAATTTTATGTAATAATCGCCTGGAAGAAAAAGCAGTTCAGTGATAAGACCACATATTGCTAATGTGACCATCTTTTTCCATGTCAAAGTGGGACATCTATGGAATTTTGCAAAATAGAAAAATAGCTATGTCAATGTAAAATTCAATATTTAAAAACTAAATACAAATTATGGTTTAAAATGTGACTTAATACTTAGGGTAAGATATAGATAGAGACTCTCCAAGGGAATTTAGTTTAATTTTAATGTAGACATGTAACTAAATAGTTACATATATAAAAGTTTGTTTATTAAAGTGGGACAATCCGGCCCAAAGTAGGATGTATGGTCATATTACCTACTGCACATCTAATGTTAATGTATTTTTCTTTATTATGTATATATTTTACTTTGTTTTGCAATGAAATTATTTCCTGTCCTCTTTATAATATTTCTTGCGTACAATTGCCGTGTAGTGCGAGGAGAGTTTCCCCACGATATACACGTACGGCAAACACTTCGAGGCGGCTCACATGGTGGACAAGAACCGGCGCCCGAGCCGCCTCACGGGGCCCAAGAAGTGGGGCGTCGTGTCCGTGGCCGGGGCCAGGGTTATTGCGGGCGGGGACGCGGCCACCGCCGATACCGTGGCCGTCTGCGAGTACTGCGGCCAGATATGTACCGTGAGTGTTTAGTTGTGTACTAGCGGGGGGGAGTACTGCGGCCAGATATATACTGTGAGTGTTTAGTTGTGTACTAGCGGGGGGGGAGTACTGCGGCCAGATATGTCCTGTGAGTGTTTAGTTGTGTACTAGCGGTAGGGGAGTACTGCGGCCAGATATGTACCGTGAGTGTATAGTTGTGTACTAGCGGGGGGGAGTACTGCGGCCAGATATGTACTGTGAGTATTTAGTTGTGTACTAGCGGGGGGGAGTACTGCGGCCAGATATGTACCGTGAGTGTTTAGTTGTGTACTAGCAGAGGGGAGTACTGCGGCCTGATATGTACCGTGAGTGTATAGCTCGCGTAAATTATAATAATAACTAAAAAATATATCTAACAACATCACATACATTGCCAAGATGAGTAGCTGAAGCCCCAGAACCGAGACAATATAGAAAAGTTCATTTTCTACATTGACCCAACCGGGAATCGAACCCGCGACCTCAGAGATGGTGGCACCTTGTATGCGGATTTAGTTATATGGACATGCCCACAACACTAATAGAATTATGACGTCACACTTTAATAGTCTGCTTTGGTTAATTGATCACGTGATACTACATTCTTGATTGTAGCATCATACATTCTGGTAAATAATCCTTTTGCATTAATGCACCATTTTTCAGTCTGAAAGAGTTGGGCAATTTTCCATTTTCTTTTGCTATGAGGCTAGAATTTTCTAAATTCATTTTTTACTCCCAAGCCAATATGGAACTATAACTATCTATCTGTTGTTTTGATAAATTCTAATTGTAAGTGTATAATTAGAATAGAATTTAGTAATATTTATGCCCAGGAAAGAAAGGTAAACAAAATGAAATTTTTAGTATTACTTTTATAACACTTATTCAGATATTATTAGATTATTGATTAATATATTGGAAAAACTTCCTGAAATGTCAGAGGTAATTGTTGTAGGCCATTTGGACCTGCACCGGAATCGTCCATATTTAGCAAAACTTAACATCAAAAAGATAACAACCAAAACAAAACTATAAGAAAACAACAATAATTTAATAACAACTCAATCACGGAATACGGTAAAACAACAAGAAAAGCAATAACATTCACAATTAATGAGAATCCCAGATTACGTATTTTGACTATTATGAATACATCATAATCTGACAAAATTAAAAAGCTGTACTACCGAAACGTTTGAAGGGATTAAGCAACGTTTTCAATTTGGTAGAGTTATAGTGACATGAGAATCGTGCCGAGACTATCCAACCCTGCTTCTGTAGGTTCTTTAAGATGAACACTTTTTATTGTAAAATTTATTAAATCTTTTAAGTTAGTCAAATACACATAATTTTGTTTAACAGATAGCTTAAACGACAACCGTTAAGTATAGCAGCTGGTATTTAAGTGGATATGTAGTAAATAAGCCGTCAGTCTTAAGAGTAACACGATTGTTAATATTTTGTCACAAAGTATGCCATAAAAAGAACCTTATTTAACTTCTGTCTAATGCTATAATGAATGGAAGGAAGTATTAAAAAAACATTAGTTCCCGAAATCAAATTAGATGTCGCTACGGTACGTTCTTGATTTCTCCATTTCAACCCTTCCGTTTTTTTTCGTGTTAAAAGTAAATTAGTTTTCATATTCATATTCTATTTGTGATTTTTCGTATTTGTATTGATATCTAAGTTTCGAGCTTTGCAAATTTCAGTTTTTTAATATGTTAGTTAAAAGGAACGGAAATGACTATCTTTGGTCCATTCGTTTCCTGCAAAAATCAACTTTTGCTAGACTCGCCATCTAATGAGGTGCTTTTTAGTTCTTTCTGTTTTTTAAATACTTCCTCATTGTAGAAAAACGGGATTCTTTGAACTCGTATTAGTGTTTCGAAAATAGACGATATTTCGTTTTTGGAGACGAGAGTAGAACTTCAAGGTAGTATTAAAAAAAAAGTTTTCGGAATCGAACTGAATGTCGTTACGTATTGCTAAATGTTTGATCAATGAAATTATTTAGGATCGATAACAACTCTATACAGTTTTATTGTGTTAACGCACCGGCCGGTCGTATATTGGCGCGAACCGTGTAAAACGTCAATGTCAAAGTTACATTGACAGCTCACTGGTCGACAGTGATGAGCTGAGTAATGCAATCGATTAATGTCCGTTATAGTAATTTAACAAGACGTAAAAAAATTTTTGTCTAACGGGACATGAGGGGCATATTAAAAAAAAATATCTAATTAAAATTAGAATGTCCTTCATAGTGCTTGGTGATTAAATACTGTAATTATTATGTGTTGTACCTAATATCACCTAAATGCTAATATTCCTGTTGTGAATAAATCTTAATCAAGTTGTTGTCGATTTGTTTGAATGCATGTTGTATATAACTTTATTCCTAGTACATGTTTACAAACCTACGTGGTTGCACTTCATGGCTGAGTTTAATTACCATGTTTACTAATTTTCTTAATGTTTATTTAAAATTTATTAAAAGTTAATTAGATCAGGACACTTTTCATTGATGAAATCAATACTTTTGAAAACCTAGCGATATCTATATTGATTTCGAAAACCATTTTTTTTTGTTTCTTTAAAGAGGTACAAGCATAATCAGAAGCAGTGACACCTGTACAGAGTAATCACACGCGTGACTCAGGGTTGCCACTCGTCCCAAATTTTCCGGAACATTCCCGATTTCAATGATTTTTTTTTTTAATTTTCAGTGCTACTTATACGCAAGGTTTAGCGTTGAAGTAAATTCACGCTGAGACTGCTCTTTGTATTAGTTAAAATTCATATTATTAGACAGAGACTTAACAAAGGTTAACCTAGTACGAGGTTCTACGGGAGTAAAATTTTTGTTCTTAGAAGGTAATAGATTTGCTTATTCTCTGTGTAATATGAATATGGACTAATACTAAAATTGCAATTTTAGCGTTAATTTACTCTGACGCTAAATCTTGTTTATAAGTTGCACTGTTTGATAATGCAGGTCCCACCGTGATGAAATTCGCATCCTAATAATATATTTTTATTGTCCTATGATATACTTTGAAGTGAAGTCCAATTACTTTTGATAATCGTTCGAATGTCCCGAATTTTATTTCTCAAAAGGTGGCAGCCCTAGAGTGAATATTTATTTATTGACACAACTGTATTTTAAAACTTTGTGTGAAAATAAATAAATTATATGATTACTTAATAACCCCCAAGGCTTCCCCAACATTCTTTGCGTCCCCAACATTCTGATTTATAACTCTTTTATCATTCATACGTAACGTTTAATACGGTTACAAAAGCCGATAAGATCCGGTATCTCACTAAAAGTTGGACAGTCATTTGGCTTCTGGCACTGATACTTTGTTTCCAGGTGCACACTGGAGAACGAAGGCACGTCTGTCGTTTGTGCTGCAGGGCATTCTTGACATCGACACATGTAAAAACGCATATTAAGAAAATGCATATTAACCCACCGCCGTTGAGCAACAGAAAAGGCAGGACCAATTACAACGTTGTCACATATGTAGATTGAAATTAAATCTTTAATAAATAATGGTCTGTACTCCACGTCTTGTAAATGCGGCGTCGATACGCGCTTTAGAAACCGCGTTAGTACCTGTTTAGAGTGAGGGATTATTTACGGGAGAACAGTAACCAAGCCAGTCCATTATGCCAGTCTAACTTGTAAACAATTGGTTGGACTACATCTTCTTATCCTAGAGCGAGAATGATTGCGATTGCCTATCGCCACGAAAATTCCGTGGGGCACAGAACGACAAAAAAGTAGAACACGCCGGAAAACGACATACGGTGCTGCTAGATGTAGTCTGACCCTAATAGTGTGCGAAGTTTGCTAGATTTGTTGCCACATGTACACAAGTATTTAAATGCGGAATTACGGATAATTTACATGTGGGATTTGCTTAATTCATTTACAGTTTTAACCTCGGGTTTTAATACAATTCTATGTTGTGTTTATGTCCCAGCCAACTGGGTAAATCAGCCGTTCAATTAGGCAGCTAGCCATTTAGTTGAATTACACCAATGGTGTCTTGTTACTTTTAGTGGTAAATAACCGAATATGGAATTTAATCCCTAATTTGGAATTTTCAAATTCCTGCCTAAATTATTCCTACTAGGGTCAAGTGGGTAATTGCGAGGATGATAATTAAAATTATAAATTCAATCTCATACTACTAATTTGTTTCTGAGAGTAAGGAATTAAAATTTACGTCTGTTATTAAACACATATTAGTCTATTATTCCAGATATTTAATAAAAGAAAATAATAGATTTTCAGAAAAATGAGACTCAAATTTAAGTACTACGTCTCATTATTACATTTTCCCCGTCAAAAGGGGCAATTGTAATAATCTCATCAAATTTTCTAACAATGTATAAACATTAAGTTCTGGGGCATTAGCAATAAAAGCGCAAAAAAATATTTAAAAATTGGTTTTTATTTCAGTGAAATCAGACAATTATATCCTAAGTTATTAACTTTTCTTAAAATAGTATTTCAACCTGTTAATTATACTGAAAAATATTACAAATCTAAATTACAATATAATCATATTTCTGAACTTAAAATCAAATGATATTATTCCACGTTTGGTTATTTCAGGGTAAGGCAATATCTGAACGATAGATTCACGGGTAACATGATCAATATCATCGATTATTGGCCATGCGAAAACGCTGCCCTTGCGTCTTACAAATTTTACCTCCCACCGATCGCCCACGGTTTTCTGAACAACGCCTACATAATGCTTGATGCCTTTTTTAAATGCATATTTAACGATCACCCATTTGTTGACCACCGTTTCTGTAAGTTCTTTTCTAGCTTCTTCCTCTGTATTTTGGCTCTCAGTTCCCACGTACTCTACTCCTCGCTCTTTAGTTGCTTTTTTTGTCCCTTTTTCTTTTACTTTTCTATTTTTTTCCGGTAATTTCGTGTTTTGATCGTTTTCTTTATCAGAATTTTCATCTTCAGATTCTTCTAT